AAATTTTAGAACAAAAGCAATAAAAAAAATGAACACACAATTTTGATTCAAACCAAATTGTAAATTATCAATGATAAGCTCCAATTCCCCACATATGGCATAAAATTCTTCTCTCCTCCATAATTTTATATTTGAACAAACAAGAAAATTAAATATAAATGACAGATAATAAAGAACAAAGAATAAAAAAAGAAGAAGCAATTTTTGGAGACAAAATGAAGAATAAAAATAGAAAATTAAGTTTGAATTTAATTATTCCACACAATCCACTTAAATGGAGAGAATGATCAGAAACAAGTTATAATTTTTTTAATGAAATTTGATTATATTGACACTAGTTAAAGGAAGTTTGTAAAACATTCCAATTATTCCGTTGCAGTTAAAAAAAAAATGGTTTTAGGCTTTTAGGTCTGCATGAATAAAAGAACCTAAAATTCTTATTTTTAAATTGTTATTTCATAGGAGGTTTTAATATTAATAGGTTTGGTGACATAGGGCTCACATTATTTCCAACTCAACAAGGAGTAGAGTGAAATAAGAGTAATGTTAGTTTTTTTGACGGAATGATGACGTCAACCTTCAAACAAGGGGTCATTTGCCACTATCGAAGAGTATAAGGGGTGGTATGCTTCTAAATTTGGTTTAGGGGTTAATCTGCCGCTGATAGTCAAGTTCAAGGCAAAAGCATAAAAATAACCCCTTACCTTGATAAGTTGTAGTCCCTCACCTTATATTATAATGGTTTTAGGCTACTTTTAGCCCCTAACCTATAAGAATTGAAGAAAATAGCCCTTACTTCTAACTTTCGTTGTACCTCCGTCACCTCCGTCACTTTTTTCATTATATTTCCGTTAATTTTGTCCGGTTTATACCTATAATAAATAAAAAAATGGGAAAGCTTCTCCAAGAAGCCTGATGCTTTTTTGTTGGGAATTCCAACTTTTTTTTTTGAGAATTCTAATATTTTTTTGCCTTTATTTTTAAATATGGTTGCACATATATTAATTGTATATAATTTTTACATATTATTAAATAAATAGATATAATTAATATT